GCTTCGGAAGATAGCATATCATCTATACTATTTCAACCGGTTCTAATTTGAAAAATAACCGAAAAACCGGGACCGGAACAGGAACTGGCGCTAGAACCGGCGGTCCGGTTCCCGGTTCTTATAATATGGGAAAACCGGTCCGGTTCTAAAGCTCATCCCTAATTAAAACATTTTGCGTCCGCTGCCGGTAAAACCCTAACAAAGGTCGGTTACATTTCAAAATTTTTCAATGCTGATTACTATACATGTCTTCCTGTGTCCACAAACACAACTTTCTATTTTTTTTCTTTTCGATTTTTTGTTTTTAATTTGACGGTTACAAAGCTTAACGCAGGTATCTCTCAACTTATCATTTGTTCAAAACCCAGAAATCAACCCTTAGCATGATTTCCTTGTCGTGAATTTATTTGTTTTGCAATCGATTATCTACTTGCAATGCGGATCGATTGAATAGTTCTAATCCATGTAGTAGTGGAGAAAATCAACCGATTGAGTCAAATTGTTTGCCAATTTACTATTTTCACGCTTGATTGTTGAGAAAAATGTACGATTTTTGGTCGCATTTACATGAACCGATTTCTAACTAGCCATGACATTGGTTTTGATTATTGTTCCTCCTGCTTGCAGTATTGCATGTCTAATTTGGGATTTGTGATTAGTTTGTTTGATTATAGTCTTCTGAGATCTTTTACCATGTTTTGAATGTGATCGTGTTGTGTGTTCAGCATACCTCAATTGGGATGATAGAATTGATGATTGAAGCGAAGAAGGCAAATCCTACATTTGAATCTAAAAAAGAGGTCGGATTCACATCGAGCTCATCTATTTCTGATACTAGTTTTGATGCTAACACACCAAAATCTCTTAATAACCACAGGTAAAAGCTTCTTGTGTTACTCTTACAGTTTACTAAACCATACTTATGTACTCAATTGACTTTTACCTCACTTTATTCAGTTATTTGTATCCATCTGTATCGAGCTGCAGTAGCACCAATCAAACTAAACGTTCATCACAAGCAGGCTGGACAGATGATGAGGTTCATTGATACTTACTTAGTAGCCACGTGTCCTAAATCCTATATACATTTCGAACACACTTTAGTTTATGTAGTGGTTTAATAAAGATTATCTTTCATTACTGTTTGATAAACACTGCCTCTGAACGAAGCATTCAGTACTAAATGGTTCAGTTTTATCTAACATCCCCTAAAGTAGAAGCATAACATTTTATGTCTATACATTTTTTGTATTAGGATAATTTGTTAACCGATGTAGTCACGAAATACAACGGAAGGAATTGGAAGAAAATAGGTGAGCTTTCTATCACACATAATTTATTGGAATTAAACTTTTTTTGTTTAATTTTGATTTGTTTTTTTTTTTTTTTTTTGTGTGTGTGTGTGTGAAGCTGAATGCATACCAGGAAGGACAGATGTTCAGTGTTCACATCGTTGGCAAAAGGTTCTAAATCCTGAAATTGTGAAAGGACCATGGACAAAAGAGGTGAACTTTGACTATTTGTTTCATAATATAGTTATTATGATTTACGCCATTTTATTTGTTTTATGAATTCATATTTTTTACAGGAAGATGACCATATTATAAAAATGGTTGAGGCTCATGGTTGTATGAAATGGTCAGTTATTGCAAAGGATTTACCAGGTCGAATTGGGAAACAATGCAGAGAGAGGTAAAAGTAATGTTCATCCCTTTTATTTTTTTACAGTGTTAAAGATATAAAATAGCAATGTGCTTTGGATCCAGGTGGCATAATCGTTTAGATCCTGCTATAAAAAAAGAATCATGGAGTAAAGAAGAGGAATCAAGCTTAACATATTATCACCAGATATTCGGGAACAAATGGGCAGAAATAGCTAGATTTCTACCTGGAAGGTATATATATGCTTTAATGTTCCATTGTAATACAAATTATGAATCAAATTTGTAAAAGAACAAGGTGATAGATAATCTTGTGTATTTTCAGGACTGACAATTCTATAAAAAACCATTGGAATTGCTCATTGAAGAAGAAGATGGATTTAAACATTCCACACATTCTACCAATTACTGTTCATGAAACTACACACACGGATTCCATTTCCGATGGTGAAAAAAGTAGACTAGAAAATGATTCCATTGCTTGTATAACAAACTTAGCTCTAGGAATGGATGATTCGATTCCCGGCGTTGACGATGAAGAATGTCTAGGGTTTGCCAGGTTCGCAAAAGGATGCGGATTTAAACCACCGGTAACTCGTTCTGAATCTCGTAAAAAGCGTAAGATTGACAGAACCAACGATCCGAAACTCGGATCTTCACCAGATTCGTCGTTTTTAACCTTATCGACATTCGGATTAGGCAAGTATGGTGAATCTCCAAGTTTTGGACGTCAAATTGGTCAGTTATCTTGCTCGACTCCTCCTGATCTTACACTAAGCATCTCGTGTAGTGCGAGTTCTTCTGAATCGGTGTTGACGAACTCTACAATGAGTTGCAAAAACGCGAATCTATCTGCATATGATTGGAATCGAGAAATCGAGACTGGTGATTCGGAAAATGCGATGAAGAATTCGGATTTGTGTGCTCGTAAATCTCAACCCTGGTTAGGAAGACGTCTGGATTACATATTTGATTCGGCTTGGGATCCAACGGCTATCAATTGCTGTAGTAACTCCAGTACCAGTTGATTGTGTGCAGAAAGTAATAAAGAGTTGAACACGAATGGTGGTGTATTACAAATCTTTATAGGTAAATTCCGATTTTAAAATTGTTATTCAATTTGTTTTTGTTGAATACAAAGGTAAATTATACAAAAATAAAAGTTTCATAGAGGCTAAAAGTCCTTATGACAAGTAACAAATGCATTCGTCGTCTTTGCAATAAAATTACATTTCATACTATGTAAGGTGTCTTCTAGTCCTTTAACCATATCGACATTCTTATATGATATTGACGACATTTTTTATACCCCCGATTCAAAAGAAAGTATTTGAGTTTGTATGAAACACAATGAAACTACTAACCGCTTTTATTCTCTATTTAGGCCGATTTCACAGTAAAAAAATACAATTTTTTTGCAAAACAATAATCCAAAAGAGATGAAACCATTTTTGCAGTGATTTCCTCAGTTTTATAATGCACCCTATACAAAACCCAAATGGCACAAACTGTTTCGTTGTATGTTCCGTAAACATCGTATAACTCATGCAAGGTCTTTTATATCGAAATGAATATGTAAATGTTACAATGATTTCTCTATATATTTTAATAAACAATAACTAATATATTAAGACATGATTTATTTAAATAATGAATATGTGTTTATTAAAACGGTTTTCCTAAGATCTGGGATATAATATCCCTAAGATCCATATTTCTTGGATGATGGTAACTTTGTGTAAAAGCAGACGAAAGAAGTGGAAGTATGCACCATGTCACATTATCTAGTATCATCTAAGTTTTACGTTCTAACATGTTAGTTAGGCCATTCATGGCAATGTCACTCGTGACTCGTCTATATATGAGCTTTGCAACTAAATCACACAATCACTACAATATTAATATTCTTTTTAAAATGGTCCCACTAAAAATAAAAAAAATTGTTTATATATATATATCTTTACTACTTATAAAAGAAATCTAACTATTTTTATAAATAGATTGAATATAATAATATTATTTTTTTAAGACGTCCAAACTATTAAGCTTGAAGTACAACCCATTTATAATATAATAATATTAAAACTTTAACCCTATCATTTATCCCCTAAAAATCTGGTATCAAATTAATAGAATAATTCATTTGCAAATTGAACCCGTCAATCTCAACACTTCAGCCATTTGAAGCGGTCAATATCAACAATTTATAGAGGATCTATTCTCTCACATTGGTAACAAGTCATCTCATAATATCTATCTTCGTAATCCCTTCAAAGTAAGAAATATACGCACACTCTCTCGAAGAACCCTAACCAGTAACCAAGACAGTATAACCACCACCACCACAGCCGCTCTGCTTCCTTCCGCCTTCAACTAACCACTATCACGACTACTGCCCTTCCTCTCACCCACGACATGAACTTTCTTTTGGAACATAACATTTTTTTTAAAAAAAAATATCGTTGAAAGAAGCTATTTGTCCCCGCCACTGTGCGCGGGTAACGGCTAGTGTATATATATATATATATATATATATATATATATATATATATATATGTCTATCTAAATAATAAATGATATGTAATCTTCTTCTTCTACTCTAATAAATGAAGGTTTTTTTACCACATGTCATCTTCTCTTTCACTTGGACACATAGCATTTTATAAAAATTTTAGATTTTTCTATTTTCCACTTATCATTTATTGTATTTTTCATTTTATTAAATTAAAATTTCACATTTAATATGTAAGGTATTTATTAAAAAATATTTATATATGTAATGTATTCAATACATTAAAACCTCATTAATTTTAATAATTAATTTTTTTTTATTTTTTTTATAAATTCAAATTTTTTCTTATTATTAAAATTTCATATTTAATTTTTTTTAATTAAACCCATGTACTACATGAGTCTCACACTTAGTTATATAATAATAAAAAAAAGTGGATTCTACGTTGCAAACCTTTCTATACTTGTGATACTAAATCAATGGCGGTATTTGAAACTATTTGCAAGACCATTTGTAAGACCGATGGAGATGATCTTACATTATTCTTGTTTATAAGATTATTTCATAGTTGCTTATAATGCACAAATAATAATAATAATAATTCTAATACCATTTAAAACTGAAAGCTATAGTTTTTAGAGTTTTAATGATAACATCCCAATCAAAACGATATCAATCTTCACAAATCAATTGAAAGTTAAATATTTTTCCTACTCTAACATCAAAGTTCTTAAACGCCCCTAACATGTTTACAAACCCTACCCAAATTCACCCATAAACAAAAAGATTACAATCCAATTTCAATTTAAAAATAAAAAAATTCAAGATCATATCCTTACAAAGAAAATACTCAATTCAGGCCCATTGTTCCCATCAGGGCTCAACATATAAAGCGTCTCTGAATCCCTTGACCCCACCACCCGGTCAAAGTGTGCCCTCATGTATGCAATCTCACCGTCGGGACCTTCCACCTCAGATTTCCCCGGCAAAACTCCGGCACCCATCGCCACCGCCGCAAGCGTCTCCATCACGTAATAATCCTCCTCCGTTGGTTCCCTCTTCACCCCACGACCACCTTTTCTCCCATTAAAAAACATCGTCCATAACGGCTCTTCCAGAAGCTTCACCTTCTCCTTTTCCTGCTGTTTCTCGCACTCTAACGCGATTCGAACCATTCCCACATTCATTTCGTTCTGCAACTCGTTCGTTTCGAGCTCCAATTCTAGAATCATGATCGGTAACGTTTTGGTGTTCTCTTGAATCGCAAGGGCGACACACCCTTTTCTGTATCCGTACAGCGTCCCGGTGACGCAGTTTGTTCCACGATGACCTTCCGGCGGACGGCCGCTGGGGAAGAGTGGGATTTTGGCTTGTGTTACGATTGGGAACGAACGGAAAACGGAGCGAACGACTCGGAATACTTTGGTGTGTTTGCCTTTTTTGTAGGACGATCGTGTGAGACCGGTGGTCGGTGGTTCCGGCGGAGGCGGCGGTGGTGGTTGTTTATGTGATTTTGATGATGGCGATGGCGATGAGGATGGTGGCATGGTGGTGAGATTGGGACTTTTTAACTCCCCCATTACCGGAATCTTATGCAGATTCAGCAACGGGAGAAAGATTAGGGTTTGTTTTGGATTGTGTTTCTAAAATATGGCTATTAAAATTTTAATAATTTATCCACACTTTTAGCAAAATATTTAACCAATTTAAGGCTTTATTTGTGGTCTATTCTTTTTTTCTTGAATTGGGTGGCTTCGGCTAATTTCAACATTAACCCAAAAAAAATCTACAAAGAATAACAAGTAAAATCTATTAATAATTAATCCCACTTTCTTGTGAGACAAGTTGTTTGTATTTTCAAACACTACAATACATATTATATTAAACCTACCAACCCATTATAAAAAGTATCAATTCCAATATCCAACACAAAACTCAGTTTCCTCCATATCATAAACCGGCATCCCAAGTCGGTCAAGCCTGCCCGAGCCCGGATATGCCTTCCGGGCAAAACTATCGTGCACCGTGGGAACCCATTGCACACCCGACCCGTATTTATAACCCGGATCCCTTTTCGCTCCACTAGAAACCTCATTATGACTCCTTAGTCTTGGAGCACTTAGTGACCTAACTTTAGCCCGTGATGATTCTGTGTTAGCCATATAGTTAGGGTGGTTCGAGTGTGTGCTAACATAGCTTCTTGAACCCTCATATGAATTAACTTCACAAGATGCACATGGGCTCGAACTCGTGGGTTGAACCGTTGACCCTCTTGAAGTTGTCGGTTGAACCGTTGACCCTCTTGAAGTAGTCAAACTTTGACTAGACCCGAAGTTGATTTGGTCATGTTGAAAGAGCTTTTTTCCTTTAGTTATCGTATCGATTTCGACAATTTTGTCGTTTTCTTGAGTAATTACATCTCGATTGTAAGATTTTGAGTTGTTCTTCTGCGTTTGTTCGATGATTGGGTTAATTTCAAGAAATTGCATTAAATAAATTGAATCTTGTTTTTGAAATAACATACCTTTAATATAGAATGATGATCGTGTTTATTACGTGGAATTTGTTCGAATTTTTCGGGAGTCGCATGTTCCTACAAGTACAAGGCTCATATCACATTCATGTACAAAAATAAAACTATAGATAATGTTGTGTTTCTGTTGTTCTAAAAAAATTTAATATTGTGTTTGATATATATTGTGTTTCTGTTGTTATTTGGAATTCATTTTTTTTACTGGAGGGAAAAGGTACATACATGGTGGTGTAAATAAGAGGGGAGTTTGGTTGTTGAATCGGATAAGTGGGACCGGAGTGCACGTGCACGTGCCTGAGCACGGAGGAGTGCCTGAAAACGCCGCATCATATCGGCGGTTTGCTTCCTCAGAATGTGACCTCTCACCACCGCTTGAAGCTTCACTAGTGCTTTCAATGCCCTTAATGCCCTTCTAGCCTATAGAATAATTCAAAATTATAAGTTAAAAATATATATATTTTTTAAATTAAAATTAAATGGAAATATTTATTGAGTTGACATGCCAAAGGAATAATGTAATGCCACGTCAACAAAGATACGCCTAAAATTAGTTGTGCATTTAATTGTGGGAAGATAAGATATAGTTAAAATCAGAAAATGAGCATACAAAATTGAAAGGTGGTTTACGAAGGGAGAGTCGATTTTAGTAGGAAGAATATGACAACTCACCAGCCACCTTAATAAAACAAAAAACATTAAGTTCATGGGACATATATCATGTGTTACAATAATACCAGAAAATAAAATGTTCTTAGTTTATTAAATTAGTCAGGAGATAATTTTAGTATACGTTGGTTCGTTGGAAATGGCCTAAGATATTGAAACACGCATTATGGATATTAATGAATAGAAAGAAAATATATATTTTTATGCATATGGATTAAGGACATTCACTACTTTTCATACAATTTCATTATTTTATTTCTATAGTCCATTAAACTATATATAAAGTTTAATAGACTCTAATCTTGGCCATCATCATATCTTTTTCATTCACTATTTAACTCTTAAGTTCATTATATGACAACTTGTCATCCTACTATCGAGTTTAACCATTACATCTCAACTTCTCATTCCAACTCATCCAATCTTTTTATTCACCTGATGCATTGTGAATACTCAAACAATTATAGGAATTCATTGATTAAAAGTTTTAATACATGTTTATACAATTTGGAAGTATTTAGAAAAGCTTTAATGTTTTGAGTTCATTATCAATAAAGTCATAGCTTCTCATTTTTTTTCTCATTTTTTAACACAAAAAGAATACAAAATCAAGAATTTTCATAGAAAATGATAGTGGGTGATCTTCAGAAAACTTCTTATTTACCGGGCTCATTAACAATAAAGTCATGATATTTCTTGAACATAAAATGATAGTGATTTTATCCTAATATAATTTTATTGTATTCTCTATGTATAACATAGTATATTATTTCAATGTAATTTTATTTTATTTTGTCTGTTAAAAGGTATATTTCTTACTTCTTATCTTATAGTTATCTTAATGCATTCTCTTTGTTATAGTTATCTTATTGCATTCTTTTTGTCTCCTAAAAAAATATTAAACTAGTGTAATCTTTTTGTATTATCTTTGTCTAACAGTGGATTTTGTCTTAGTATAATCTTATTATCACTCATCAACAAAATATATTATCTTATGGTAATGTATTGTTTATATGTCTATGTTTAACAAAAGATATTATTTTATTATATTTTTTATCTTATTATTATCTTAATATATTCATAGAAAGCATTATCATATTGTATTCAATCCGTTTAATTCTATTTTGGTTATTAACTTATTTTAGTTACAATAATCTTATTGTATTATCTTCGTCTGATAAAAAATCATGTCTTACTATAATATCACTATATATAATCTTATTGTATTATCTTATTCATAAAAGATCATGTCTTACTATAATCTCACTATATTCTTTTTGTTTGACAAGGATATTATATTACAATAAAAATAAAGAATATAATACCCTCTCTTAAACAGAAATAATACAATAAAATTACAATAAAACAAAACTTTCTGCAAGACAAATAATATATGGTATACGATAACCGTTATCAGGTAAAATATTAAGAAAAAACACAATAAAATTATCAAAAAACAAAACTCTTTATCAAACAGCCATAATACATTAAGATAATATCTTTGTCAAACAAAAAGCATACAATAAAATTAAGATAATACTCTTTATGTTTGTCTATTAAAAAAATGATGACTTTATCCGTAAGAGGCCCAAAAAATAGATTTTTTTTTTTAAGATTATTGACAGTCCCAAATATATAAAAATTGCATATTTTTTGCATTTTGCTGTAAATAACTGTTTGTTTTGTACTTTTATGTTAAAAAATAAGAAGTCATCGCTTTATCCCGAGAACATATGGACTTCTTGGAAGATTTTTTATATACAATTTACTTCATGTTTATACATTTTTATAAATAAACAAAAATCATATTTGGGTATAATCCAATAAATCGAACCATAATCACCTTTTTATCAAAAAGCATAGTGAAACATATGTTTGTCAATTGTCATGGCATTAAATGATCAAATTCTTTAACAATCTTGAAAAGGAGATGTTTTGGGTGCCATCACATAAACTTGTTTCTAATCTCAAGTTGTACCTTCTGCATGTTACATTGTTACATCACAATGCAGAAAGTGGTACCACGTAAACTAAGGTACAACTTTTACTGCATTATTTACCATTGTCAGAATATTTCTTATTTTCTTTGTTTAGATATTTTTAATTAATCATAATCCATTTAACAAAAATATTCTAAACATGAACATAGACATTTTATCGTTAATTTTAAAAATAAAATTCTCTTATTTTTATGCTATTAAAATAATAATACTAAACTAAACTTTATTTTTTACTAATATAAACTTTTAATAAACCTATTTTAATATAAACTTTTAATAAAACTATTTTACGCACCAGATAAGCTCGGAAACATGACTGGATTTTAACGGCAGCCAAATCCTCACGAACACCGTAGCCGGTGGTTCTTCTAGTTATTCGTACTACCTCCGCCGCCGCCTGAGCTGCTGCTACGGCTGCATCGACTACTGCGGCGGTGGCCGCCGCAAGCGCAATCGCGTGCTTATTAGGATCTTCATTGTCGGTTGGGTTACGATGATAATGATGCAGTGAGACTCCGTCGAAAGATTTGGAAGTGTCCCGGAGTCGACGCTGCGGAATCTCTTTGTGCGATTTCACAAAACTCCACCGTCGCTTTGTCGGCTTTGGTTGTTTAGGCTCTGAACGTGAAGATTGTGTGGTGGAGGCTTCGGTGGTCCTGAATCCGAGGAGCGATTTGAAGAATTTCGAGGCCTTCCCCATTTTGGAATGCGGTTAACTGTGGTGCATTGAGAGGAGCTCCGGCGAGTAGTTTGTTTGGGAATGCATTTTAGTGAGAGAGAAAACGATCTGTGTGTGTTTGAGAGAGAGAGAGAGAGAGAGAGAGAGAGAGAGGAAGGAGAAGTTATGGTTGAGAGGAGTATGGTCTTGTTTTTGTTTGTTTTTATAAATAATTTTTTTTTATTAATTTTGGCGGTGGACAATGCACATTTTGTCTCCTTTTTGTTTCAATTTACTGTAATTTTAATATTATTTTATTAGATTTGTAAAATAATTAGACATGAAAAGGTTATTATCTTGTTGGGTTGTCAAGACAATAATGAAAGGAGGTGTAATATATAATGTAAACGTTGTTATATGTATTAATTAGATCAACAATTGTGTTGTTTTGAGCGATATCTTAAGACATAGAGTAAATATGATGTTACTTTCTGGCCAGTTTTTAAGGATGGACGGTGTCGTGGGAAAGATGGAGCAGCTTCCGGTTGGTATTGCCAAGCGGTACCACGAAAGTGTCAGGAAGTGGGTTACTCTCTCTCTAAGCTTTGCTTGTTGTATATTTTGCATAAAAAGTTGTATGAAAATGTGTTTGTATAGTAGTTTTAACTAGTTCTGTATAATTTTAATTACATTGTATTTATTTTATATATATAAGGATTGAGTAAGTTAAGATGGACGGAAAATATAGGTTCTCATGGATTGTGGAATGTGAGAGATAAGATTAAAATGAAAGAAACTAAAAAAAAAAATTGATGTGAAAAAAAGGGGTGGAAAAGTCTATCATCCCAAATTCAAAAGATTTTTCCTTTTTAAAATACGGAGTAAAACATCAAATCCATTTTCACATAAAAGATGTAGGTACCATATTGGTTGATAATCAAATGTATCAGAAAAAATAATTAAAATTAAAATTAAACATTGATATGAATGCGGTACAATCACATCAAACTTTTTATCTGATCGATAGAATTACCTAAATATATTTAATCAACGGTAAGTATAAAGTTTAATGAGTTTTCTAAAATTACTACATATTTCAATACACATATAATGCCTACATGGCTTGCATGCTCACGTTGTTCCGCGTAACTCGCAGCCTAGTGCCGTTCCATTATCAATAGTTGGCTCGCAACCTAACGTCGTCATGTCATCAACGGTAGTTATCTAGCCTCACAGTCTAACGTTGTTCCACCATCAATCCCTCAAATATGACACATAAATCTATCATACAATCAAGCAATTAACATACAAAAGACTAAACCAATCTACTTGTATAATCATACATTAGCAGTACACCTACATCCTATATACAAATGATATATATTGCCACACATAATATAATGAGTAAACACACATAAATGAAGAGTTGAAAGTCACACATTGAACCCTTAAAGAAATCAGTAAAACAAACTGTAATGGTCCAAAATGTGTTGAGAAGGTTGAGTCTTCTCTAGATATGTGCTCTCTTGCACCAAACAAAGTTCCCTTTCCTTCGAGCTACATACCAAAGTAACAAAAACTCAAGGAAATCAAGAAACTAAGACTAAGGTTATGTGGGTTATGATTTTGGATAATGGAGGTTACCAAAGAGGCAACCATATGTATTAGTGTCATTATATAACACCCAAAGCCCGATATTTAAGATTTTGTGCAAATAACGGTGTTGCGTCGTGACCCTCACTTAGGTCGTGTTGCGAATTAGGGTTTTTCATGGCGTCATGACCAAGTATTGTTGTGTCGTGCTTTTGCTTTCTTCATAAAACCCTTCATCCTTAATTAATTGAATTAAATAAAATTGATATAAACATACTCGAAAAATAGACATTACGGAAAGATAGATATCTTCCACCCTAATTGAAACCGTTAAAATCGAACATTAAACATCTCATATAAAAGGCCAATAGCTTACTTTAAATAGATAATATATTGAAAATATATGTCAAATCCACTGTGATATGCTAAAAATCGTTTGTTTGTTTATTTATTTATTTATTTATTTATTTATTTATTATTGTTGTTATTATTATTATTATTATTACTATTATTATTATTACTACGCATATGACAAAAAATAAATAAATAAATAAATAATTGGAGAATGTGGTATTATGTTTAACAAAAGTGAATATACTATAAGCATATGAAGAAAATAAATTAACAATCAATAGTAAAAATTATTTTTCTTTGATTCTTCTTATGTATTATGTAAATGAAATTTAATCAATGTCGAATTCAATTAATAGTTTAAGTTGATAATAAAGAATATTAACAAGTTTAGATATCCATGTATTGGCCTAAATGCTTAATTAAAACAAATTCTTTAATTAAACTTAATTTTACTAATTAAATCTAAACCGAAGCTTAGTAAGTTCCCTTAAAGTACCACCACATAACAAACAACAACATGCATATAGAGTATTCAGCATGATTGGACCGCCACATCGGCCTACAGACTATCTGAACCGCTCTCAGAGCCTTCAACATGACTGGACCGCTGCACCGGACCTACAACCTATATGGACCGCTCTTTGAGCATTCGACCTGATTGGACTGCCTCGCATGCCTTCAGTTTATCCAGACCGCCTTGGGTATCTTGGCCTTAGTACCAGCTGGTCCACCTCAACCCAGTAAACCATAACAACATACTGATATAAACATTACCAGGTTGTTGACTGGCATCACAAAGCAGTATAGTCTCAACCCAACCACACTACGTCAACATATGCGATAGACAAACATATAGCCAGGAAACAGATAACAGATAGTGCTACAGATCACTACAGCATAACAACATCCTAATTACCAGGATACATATCTAACACATTACTACAACATAACCACATCATATACACTAAGATACATAACCAAGTGGGTCGTCATTGGTGACTTTAACCCACAAGTACAGTGAGGAAAACTCACATGAATCGAAGAACCTTAGAAAACTGTGATATGCTCCCTTCTGCATTGTGTGCTCCTGTGGATCCACTCACACCAGAACCAGATAACATCTTAATCAATAGCTCAAAATCCTCAAGTTTGTACTCGAGGTCAAACTTGATCAAAAAGTCAACGGTCAACGAAGTAAAAAAAGTCAAAGTCCAAGGTTGGTTGAGTACGCCCTACGTACTCAACTTATGCCCAACGTATCCGGGATGGTTTAGTACGCCCAGTGTATGAAAATTGTGCCCAACATACTTAAGCTAGTTCCATCCTTTCCATTAAGCACTTAATCCTTAAGGATTTTCACCCAAAGTCAGATCTAGCTTCAAAATATTGTCTTAAGTCATAAAGTTTCCACCTTTATGACTTTCCATGGCTAGGGAAGGCCCAAAAGCTAAAACCCTAACTTATTAATCCATTAAGACATCACAACTCTTGCATGGAAGGGAGAGAATGAACAAGATCACATTTTTATGGTTCCTAATAGCTCCATAATGGATAAAGTTTCCAACTTTATCCATTAGAATGGTCTCAACAAACAAGATCTAGTCTTTAAGTCTCCAAAGGACCCAAAAGTGAATCCTTTTCAACTTAATTCATTAAGTCCAAGTCTCCAACCTTCATATCTGAATCAAAATGATGTTCAGATGGATAAGTTTCCAACTTTATCCATAACAAGGTCACAAACTTTCAAGATCCAAACTTTATGCACTTAAAGTGACCAAAAGCTCATAACACCCAAAACTAGTTAGATCTAACAATTTCATAATCAAGATTTAAACTTTATACATCTAGAAGAAAGATCAAGGTGAACAAGGTATGGATCTACAAGCTCCAAAGTAACCAATTCTTCTTCAGTGAGTTATTTCTTCTCCAAGGTGCACCAAGAAAACTCCAACGCACTTAAAAAAACCTTCTTTTTTCTCGCAAGGCTCAATCTAGGGTTAGGGTTTCAAGAAAGGGTGTTGGAGAGGTGGAGGCTGAGAATGGAATGGGTTTGGGGGAGTTAAGGAGCTTAAATAGGGCTCAAATCACGGAAATAAGGTTTGGGCACTGATCATGTACACCCAACATACTCCTAGTACGCTCAGCGTATTAGGGATGCCCTAGTACGCTCAGCGTATTAGGCATGCCCTAGTACACCCAGCGTACTCCCCGTACCCTCAGTGTACGTGGTTAACCCAAAAATCACCCTAACTTCAAACGGTCGTAACTTCTTCAATTCAACTCCGATTTCGACGTTCTTTATATCCACGGAAAGGTGTTGAAGATCTCTACAATATTATCTAAATATCTTGGACTAAAAACTTCTCGAATAAAAATCCATATTTCATGCAAGAACCCGGCCTATGACTTTTCCCTTTCTACCCTTCGGCCTAAAACACAATTCAAGGGTAAAATCTATTAAATAACATTACCTCCTTCCACAAGGACAAAAACTTTCCTCCTTAAGGCCTAAAGCCTTACATAATCGACTTTTGTCCAATGACCAAGAAATCCCAGGAAACAAGATGTTACAATTCTCCTCCACTTAAATTAGATTTTGTCCTCAAAATCCGTCTCAGTTATGATTTCTAAAACAACATCAACATATTTCGTACACTCCCTTTAACCATTTCGAAATCAATGCATCTTATAAATAACACTCGAGAGACCACTCGAAAACCCCCAATTGCCAACAAGTAACCCAATAACTTGAAAATGCTCAAACACAACAATTTCTTTCTCTCCCTAACTGCATGACCCAACTTCCAGAGAAACTACACAAACCGGGAACTCTCAACACTACAACCACAAACCATCCTCACCACTATACTTCCCGAAATCGGGAACCCATCAGTCTGTTCTCAGAAACCTTACCTAAAGACTGAGGATCTGGCCCTTGGAAATTGTATGAACGACCAGGATCTGGCCCCTGATACTGGTATATAAGACCGGTATTTGGCTCTCGGCACTACATGGAAAGACCATGGTTTGGCCCATGACAGGAAATGATTATAAGACTATGATTTGTCCCATTGCATATATTTTCTTTTGTGTGTGGTATGTGGTATTTTAGGGGGAAATCACTAAGCTTCGTGCTTATAGTTTATGTTTAAAAATGTTTTTCATGGTACTTTTGGTTCGAGAGGGAATGGCCCAGCTTGATTGCAGTGCATCCACCCATATTTCCACACTTTAAGATTTTGAGAATTGTATTCTGGTAACTATTTTACTTTTAT